TTTATTATTATTATTTTATTTTAATGGTTGCTTTTAACTATTTCAGGTAGTTGCACACTAAAACTAGGCTATATCAGTGTTCTGATGCTTGTTTTTATACTGTCTCCAGTGTTGGCTGAATTTCCCATTAAACACATTAAACCAGAGTAAAAGTTTGCAAAATTAATTTGTGATGTTTTACAATCGTATATCCCAGCCAGTTTATTGCTGAATAATTGGCCTGTCTTCAAAAAAAAAATTACAATAATGGTTAATTTCTATGATTAGGTTTGTATTTGGGCTGTGATCGCTCAAATTCAGCAAACAGCAGCAACTGTTGCCTCTCCCTCCAGACGCAGGTTTGCCTCTGTGTTGTTGTTGGTGTCTGGCGCCATCCTCTGGTGAAATGGCACAACAGCATCTTTCAAATTGGCAGGGTGGAGGTGCTTGGATTAAATATTTAATTGGTAAACTTTAAATATTTCATGTGGGTGACGTAAGCGAAAGTGGCCACATGAGCTGCTGTTCTCTGAGTCTGAAACAGTTTGTCTCTTTTTCCTGCCCTCAAACGACCGAGGCTATTTATGGGGACACGGAACCTTTTGTCCTCAGGTTTGTTCAACTCTGACCAAATTATGAGGATGTTCAAATGAAAGCGTGTACAGGGTCAAACACATTTTACTTGTCGTTAAAAGCCTTTTTTATATTGTTGAATTGCAAACATTTGGAGGCTTCAGGACGATATTTGTTTGTTGGAAACTGAAAACTAACCTAATTGTTAGTCATAGCTCTCAGGATAGTCCACACGTCTTTAAATAGGCTAAATAACCAATTACATTTAAATATTCGGAATTTTAATCTTTAATCTAATTATCAAACCCTGAATGGGGCATTCTGGTCATTGGCCGGGATATAGTTTTTCTGTATAAAAGTTCATCTTTGGCAAAGTCACTTGCATGCAGAAATATTGTGCACAAGTGTTCAATAATAGAAAATGCGAAGAGGAATAATGTCCAAGGATGAAGTTCTGAGAGAATAATCGTGGATAAGGATGCTGCGAGGTGCTGTTCAAGGTCCTGACAACCGGACAGGAGCCGTCAAGCGCACATCAACTGACTGTTCCGTTATCTTTTTTTCTTGTATTATAAACAAACTGAAGAAGACACATTTTAATGTTATGATTCATCATCCATCCAGGGCACTCTTACCTTTGTTTTCCTCTTCAGCAGGTGACTTGTAAAGCCGAAAATGATGTCGGAGTCCACGAAGATCGTCCCCAGATCTATGACGTTGGGGTTGGGCTTCCCGGCTCCGGGAGACCCCGATGAGTTTGGCAGAGCCATGTGGGCTGCGTGTGTAGCCTAGAATGCACTCCACTCCTCGAGAAACCTACTTGATTTGTATATCCATTTAAGTCATTTCTCTCGTACCCTCCAGAAAGATCCACAAGGTGTTTTAATCCGGACATCCAGTGAGTCACGGTGAGCGCTCTCACGTGTGCGTAAAATCACTTCTTAGATTTCCAGTTTTCCGAGAAGATGATAAAGTGATACAATCCATCAGGCATGCAAAAAAAGAAAAAGGTTTACATCCAGTGGGACAAGTTAGAGCCACCCTGAGGCTTCTCGTGCCCTGATCTTTGAGCGCGAGCAGGTCTGAGAGCGAAGGAGCACCTTGCGCGTCTGCAGCTCTCTGTTCTCCAGCGTCTCTCTTCCCCCCCCTCCTTCCAATTTTCTCTCTCTCCCCCCCTCTCTCTCTCAGTCACTTACTCGATCATCCCCTCTCTCTCTCTCTCTCTCTCTCTCTCCCTCTCCCTCATGATGACCTGCTCTCACACCCAATCTGCCGGTGCGTCGTTGTCAGTCTCACACACGAAGATGTAAAACACAATGACAATCCTGGCCATAACCCCTAATGACATATTTCCTGTAATGTTCCTAATATTCATATAGGTAGTCCGAGTGGCACGCAGTAATGATCTCATCATAGCTCACCTTATATCTACTATATAATGCTCTTGTAGTAGACTGTCTTGTATATATGCGTATTGTGTTGCTTTAGAATCCTATTACTATATTTCCCACAGTGAAATATCAAAAAGGAGACACTCATTAACTTACTATGACTATACTAAAGATCATCTGTAGCGTCAGTTTTTTCCAAATAAAATTAACACTGTTTTTTTTTCTCATTGATTTCAATCTAGGCTACTTCTTCGCAGTCTGTATATAGATATCTGCTTTACAATAATAATCTTACACTGTATAAAACTCTCATGAGCAACATGATGATTTCAGCCGTTTCTAGCCGCATCTGATGTCGGAAACTCAGTAAGGGCTCATGATTGCTGATCGATACGCAGTGAATAGCCTTCACCAACTCTAGGTTGAAGCTAGTTATCTCACAGGTTGAAGATTAATGTGGGAATTGGAACTAGTTTCTCCTGCAGCAAAGAGGCATACTACTGCTGTAGTGATGATGTCATCATTCACGCGGGGCTGAGCAGCGGGACAGAACCAGCAGCATCCATGGTGGATAATGCACTTTTTTTTTTTTTTAATTCACAGCAGGAAGATGAACTCAAATAAAATTCAAACTGAGTTGTGGCATCTCAAAAATCAGCTTTTTTTGATTAGGCTAAATTTATATTCCAGTAAATAAGACTTATATATATATATATATATATACACACACACACACACACACACACACACACACACACACACACACACACACACACACTCTTTCATTATGAGACTGATTTTTAGTTAGGCCTAAATCCAGGTTGTAGAGACTGCATCTCAGACTTTAAACCATAGGACTGACAAAGGCCAAATACACTACATTTCCCATAATGCATGAACTGGCAGTTTCGATAAACTTTCCAGACTATGATAACGATCATCTTTTAAACACCATGCCCTCAGTGTGTACACAGGCTGAAGAGAACACGGTCTTCTGATTCAATCAAATCCTGATTACATCACTGTGACGCCATCACGGTTCCCCACTGGAGGAGGTCTGGGTTTGGGTCCTTCCCTGGCCGCTGATGAAATTCCGAGGACAGTCGGGGAGGGGAGGTGGTCCCCTGGGACTGCACGTGCTGCTACATCTGCTGCCCTCGCGCACGTATAAGAGAAATCGCTCTGGGCATCTCATTAAAGCCTCTCCAATGTCTTCTCCTCTGCCTGAGACCTCTGCAGCTTCACGGACAGGCTTTGTGAGAAACGTTTAGCAAATATTGATAGTTCTTGGCGCATGGAGGAGATCAAAGGGAAAGGGGAGATGGGGGCTGTCTAAGAGGAGAGGGGGAATAATCGGTGCACAGTGCTTTCATGAATGATTTATGCAGTATAAAGTAGCCTTTACCCATTGGGGGGAAGGAGGACGGATTTTCTTGCTGGAGTTGTGTCAGCTTTTGAGGCTTTGAATCAGGTTTTCCCACGAAACGAGTCATGAAAACAAGAGATGGTAGTGCAAATGCGTGTGTTTAGAATTAATTAAGTAATTTGCAGTCCAACTTAAGCAAGTTCAAGAAGTTTGAATGTAATTAGGTTAAAGGCAGAGGCAAGTAACTCAAACTTATTCGTTTTTTAACACTTACCAACATACGTATTTAGTTTTTTCTCTTCATGTTTGGCAGATTGGGATTAAAAAAAAAAAAAAAAAAAGTTAAGCAGATGCAGTTATTCCGATAAATTTGCAGCAAGTTTCAGTACTGTGGACAGCGACCATCTCTGCTAATTTATACAGCCCACCGTCGCCCCATACAGGATTCAACAGAGACAGATGACTTTTTATTGACTTGTTTTAATCAGTGCTTCTGAATAGTGACAATAGTAAAGCAGCAAAAAGGTGCAGCAGCAGAGCTATAAAAATCTGTACACGTGCCAGCAGAACGAAAAGACTGAGGCCTGCTGATTTTTACAGCCCCCCTCTTCACACACAGAATCTGGCCTGCAGTTGTCATTGTAACACCAGAGGGCACAATGAGAGCAGAAGACGGAGAGAAACGTCAGCAGGAAATCACACAGTGCTTGTTGAAGTCATTAGACGTCTTGGGAGATGTTTTCTTTCCTTTAAAGATCCACACAAAGGGAGCATTTTTGCCTCGACTGGTTGACAGCATTCGTCTGCCTGGTCAAGTGGTCCTAAACATTTCACAATTTTCTCAAAGAACTGTTGAACTGTTGAGAACCACTTAATCAGAGAGACCACACACTCTTTCAGGGCAAAGTACCGTCCATCAAACTCCCGAATGCAACTGTTAAGAGGGAGGAAAACAGCCAAGGTGAGTTTCCTGAAATGGTGAAGTGGTAGTAAATACATCACTACGGCAGAGTTCAGCTCCTTTGTGTCGAAAATGTACAAATACAAGCCAAGAAAGTTATAGTCTATGTAAAGGTTCTCACCTGGAGGAGGTAGGCCTAAGCTCTGTCCTTTCACGATGGTGTTTCCTGTCATCCCTGTTCAGACTGAGTGACTGCAGAGTAAGGAGCTCTTTATATAGTGTTTTAGGGCTAGGTTCATACAAGTTTCTCATTCAGGGAGGAATGAGGCCCATGCTGGTCTGACCGGACGAGCTGGGTCGCACGACGCAGCAGCCGCCCTCAAGACACAGATAGCGAATACCAGCAAGTGCAGGCCGGGAAGTCACATGTACTCTATGTCATCTTCGTCTTCTAAGTTTGCCTAATTTTCCATGGATTTACTTTGGGGTTTTAATGAAAGGTGTTAAACAAGCTCGGTGTGTGGGTTTGATGTTGAATTTCTCCTTAAGGCCCACAGCAGACGCAGTGAATCCAATTATTATTCAGAGCACATTTCTGCAGAGAACACAAAGGAACTGTGCACACTAAGGGAAATGACCTCTACCAATTGGTAGCTCGTGCACTAATTCATAGAGAAAACCGTGTCAAATCAGAGGTGCACATGAATCTTCAGCCAGGAGCAATATATGCAATGTTTCATGCGAGTTTCATGGATTGGTGCAATGTAGGGGCAATCACAGAAGACACTGCTTTGAAACACAAGATTTATTTCTGTTGCTTTTTTTCCACATGAGAAACTGACCACCCAACATGTATCAGTTTTTAAAACACATGACCCTTTAACATTTTTGGATCAGGGAGACAATAACAGCATTGAAAACAAAGGAAAAACATTCCAGTCAATTCCAATGTGTTTACACTTTGAAGTCACATGTAATCCAACACCATTCTTTACACTTGATAACATCAAGGTGTAAAAAAAAAAAAGACCTACAGTCATTACAGACATTAAATCACACAAGGGCAGCAAAACATTGCACATGTTGCACAACAAAGATAAGAAAAGAAAAAAGTAAATAAATGAAGACTTTTAAAAAATATGTAAGAAAACAGAAACCGAGGCAGGTTTATTTCTTAATCTCACTCGAACAATAGTCTGGCTTTCCCCTTTCCCATCTCAAAGGGAGAAATGCGACTTTTCAAGCTCAGCAATCAGCAGAAGAAACAGGCTGGATGAGTCTGGAAGGTTAGCTGCTGGTTTTTGTTAATCCTGTTTGAGCAGAATAGATTGAAAAAGGTTGAGGTTTACTGAAAGTTTTACTGAAAGTAGACAAGTGCGACAATTGTAAAATATTACATATGATTAAAAGGCAAGACAACTTATTAATTTCAAGTTATGTTTGTTCCATTTTTTTTAAATCAGCGTAAAAATACAATCAGTGAACGTACCCTGTAGTAACATTTATTGCTATAATAAGATAGCATTTCTTTATAAAGTCATGTAACAGTAGTCAATGTTTGTTTCAGCTCAATTCATTTAAAAACAGCTCAGGTGAAGTTCACCTTAAGATCCCTGAAGGGACGTCACAATCAGTGTTTAATAAAATAAAATCATTTGATAAACATTCATTAAGACCATATGTTTTCTCATACATATATCACTGTGCAACAATCATACATACGTTCGTTTACTGATTGCCTTTTGGGGACACCCAAAACAATGTTGTGCTTTGAAAGGGTTTTTGAGGGAAACACGAGCAGTGACGCCTTCAAATAGTATTTTAATTTGTGCTGACATTTAAAGGGAAAGTGAGTCTGTGAAATTGAAGAGGACAGTGGACGGTGTGTGTGGACGGCCTGGCATGGAGCGGCTCTACACAGAGTACAAGTTGGTTGGCTCAACGTCCTCCTGGTGAAGCGGTGAACTCAATCACTTCACTGTTCTTCAAAGACAAAAAGAGACAGAGTTAATATGGAGTGGGGATGAACATGTGTGAGGGTTCACTTCTTTTTATGCACAACACACAAGCAAATGCATACCAGTCAGCTAGGTGACAAGCAGGCGGCACAGGTTTAGCGTTCACATGCAGGTTACAGATCTGATTTATCTGATTGGTTTTTCTGAAAAACAAAACACCTGAGGTATGTTTAGCTAACAATTTATAAGTTCTGATGTAAAGCACTACAATCAATTCACACTAACAATTGAGAAAATGTCACTTTTAGATTAATTAAAAGGTATTTATCGGTTTAGAACTTCATCAGACTGGCACATTGTGTCCTTAAAGGGAGAGATCTCTATCTGCGTCGTGACGTTAAGTGTGTGAAAGGTGTTTTAGGCTATTTGCAGTACTTTGTTTGTAGTCCTGTTCAGGGGCTCCAAGTCCAGTCCAATGATTTTACTGCTCAGCTTTTAACGATTTTGTTCAGAGGGGTGAGGTGTACTGTATGTTGCTCATAGAACCAGGCTGATGTATTGAAAATAAGAATTGATTCACTGAAGCTCCTGTAAAAGTAAGTAATACTGATTGATGACCCTATAATAACAAAAAAATAGTAATAAATGTCAATGAATGTTAAAAGTCAGTAAACTAATCGATGGATTTTACGGAGTCAGAAGATCCTCTTGTTCTTAAAAATACCTTCATCTTCTATCTTCTGAAACCGTTCTTATCTGTTTTACTGGGTATTATCTTTGTGTTATTTGAAGTTTTGCACACAGGCCCCGTGGGCACCGTCACGCGCAAGAACGTCCTTGGTTTGAACCCCAACAAGGCCGACAGAACCCTCTCTGTGTGGAGTTGATGTTTTCTCAGTGTCTGCCTGGGTTTTCCTCAGGGAGCCGTGTGAATTGGCAGCACTCGTTTCACTGTAGTTGTGAATGTGTTTGTTGTGTTTACATGTGTGCTTTTGACCAATGACAGACAATGAGCCATCTAATGCATGCTGGGATATACGATTCACAACACCGAGCATATAAAGTGAATGCATATAAGGATGGAGGCACAGGCAACAGGCACAAGGGGATCTGAACAAAGAAGACCTAGAGTCAATGCAACTTACTAGGAGGGATCTCATGCTCAACACTGGAAATATGAGAAACCCACACAATCACAACATCTCATTTACCTCATCGTCATCATATTCATCACACTCATTCAATTCATCAAAAACGCCCTGAAATTAAACAAGAAAAACATGTAGTTGAGAGGCAATTAAAGTCAGAGAATTATGTAGATTGTATAGAAAGTGTAGATAAAAGATAATGGTTAAGCTGTGAGCAATGGGACGTTAAAGCAGCTTGAAAAGGGAACAATGCTAACCTTGGATTTATTGCTCATCAGCTGCACCAAAAATGCCACAACTTCTTTTTTGCCGACAGCTCGAGCCTGTGACAGATGAAGAAGGAAAAACAGAATAAATATGAATATCTATCATTTTAAAAGCGTTATCCAAAAAGGGCGTCCAGTAACCCACCACTTGAATGGCATTCTGTCCATCATAGCCTGGTTTATTCAGATTCGCCCCGGCAAGGCTCCAGATTTCCAGGCCCTCCAGGTCACCAATGGCTGCCAGACTTATACACAAGAAATAACAGAGATATTATGGTCGAATGCACAGCTTCACAAAAATCAGTAATATTAACAACATCAAATTATATCAAATTGACACTTGTTGGAGGACAATTGTTGTTTATAGGGACTTTTCTGAAATTGGGGTCGAATGGCGATAATGCTGGGCTTTGTGACGCACAGCATGTTTTGATTTGATCTTAAAAGAGCAATGCTAGTTGTGTCTAAACTAAAAGGCGTGTGTCTGAAACTGTAAATGCAATTGTCCTGACAAAACCTGTCGGGTGCCTCAGTTGGATAAATACCAAGGCCCAGCCGGTGTGTGATACACTTGCTGCCACTTGAGATGCAGAGGAGATCTGAAGCTATGCTGCCAGGGGGCATTCCTACAGTTTGTGTAACAGTGAGACAACTGGTTGTACCTGCATCAACTATGTAGGATGGGCTATTGAGAATGGCTGCGATACTGAGAAATTTGTTTTTTTTGTTTGTGTCTTACCTGCATAGCTCTGTTCCTGCTTCCTCCAACTCGTCTCTGGAGAAATGTGCTCCCGTCTTTCTCAGCAGCTTCACAACCTCTTTGTGCCTGAGGTAGTAAGAGGACATGCAACAGGACCTTATATTTCTAACTGTATATGAAATGTAAAAACACTATGAGCATATCATGAGTTAAAATCAGCTTTAACTTAAATGAATTATCGCAATCAATAAAGAAACAAACTAATACATTGTCCGTATACATTTGGGTTTGATGCTATCAATCCTAAACGTTAACATTTGGACTTTCATTCACAGTGTCATTGTGTCAGTGGTTTTGGTTCAGCATGTGGGAACATGTTCCTTATCCCATGCAAAAAAACCGCCAAGGCAAGAGTCACCTGCAGTGACATTTGTTGAGATAGCGAAATAAATAATTGAAAAGGCAGACAATAGGTGACAAATATGCAGCTACATTTGATGATGGCTGAGCTTGCTATTTAAAAAGGTATAGGTTCCCCAACAGATCAATTAGAAGTTTAATTGTTTGGAGGAATGCAGAGCTGCAGCCAAACAAACTATGACACAGCCCTTCTGGTTGAGGGTGAAGAAGCCAGTATCTCTCATCTGTGAAACTGGGAGCAGGTTGGTAGGACTGGTTCAGAGGACACTCCCCACATTTGTTCTGTAACCCTTCGTTCTCTTTGCTTCCTGCAACACCTTATATGGGCATTCAGGATTGAAGTGCAATAAGAAAGGTTGGTTGCATGACATTCAAAGTGCGACTCACATGCTGACTGCTTCTTAAAACTCCAGTTCTATGGGTAGAATCAGGCCAAGGTGTGGAACACAGGAAGTGTAACGACAGGTGTCTGAGTTGAAGTGCATCCCTCCCGCATCACAAAGGAAACAAGTCCACACTCGCAGTGCCAACCGTTAAAATAGGACAACAGCCATTTGGCAAGGTTTCCACACGAACAACGTCTTCACCCTGAGGCTCAACATAGCACTAAAACTAAAACATTAAGCGTGGCTGGCTTCTCCCTCATAGACATTTAGCGCAATGTCACTGAAAGACAGAAATTAAAAAAAACTGCTTTGGTAAAAATAAACACAGTCTAAACTGTTGGCTGACAATTAGCCTAATTAGTTTATAATTATTGCCTGGCCTCTAAACTCCATTATGAGCTGCTCCCCTGGTTTAAGCCCCCCTCTCTGACAGACGCTGCTCCCTTCCTGCCATTTAAGCAAAGCCACACTGCCTTGCTAGCAGCAGCTCATTTAATGAAGTCCCCTCTATAGCAGCCATTAACAACAGATTTTCAGAAACACACAGTTTCTGCAAACAGCCAAAAGGGAACATTTAATGTTCTGATAGAAACTTCATAACCAACATTGTTACATTAAGAGATAAAAACAAACACATAAAATCTTATTGATGAAATAAAGGCAGGTCTTACCTGAAGCGTACCGCGTTGCATAAAGGTGTGTCACTGTAGCGATCTTTAGCATAGACTGAAGCCCCATGACCAAGTAGATACTGCACCAGTTTGAGGTGGCCCTCGGAGGCGGCAATATGTAGGGGTGTACGTCCATCATAATCTCCCAGACACAAGTTACTGCCCTATGGTGAGGGAAAACATCAAAACATCTGAGTGCTTCACCTTGATTTTATTCTTATTGGCAAAAAATCTGGAATACATAAAGAATCAAAGGACAAAAATGAATGAATTCTACAAATAAGCATGAACTGTTAAAGCTGTCTCTCCTAACACCTCTCCAAAAACTAATAACAATTCACCAATGAGCCACAACTCTGCAACGCTTGACATTTTTCTTTATTACAATGAAGCATGGCGCTAAAACTTAAAAGGAATCCGCAAAAATACACCATCCTGCTGCTGTACTGTCGTTACCAGGGCAACCAGTCTGCAGCTCCAAATAATCCCGAACAGGAATAATACATTCTTCTTGTTATAAAGCTCCAAGTTGTTTAAGGTAATAACTATGTCTCTAATAAAAAGGAATCCGTCTGTGTTAGTGATCTGTTCCAAAGATTTATGTTTTCTACAAGCGCATGTTGGAGTGAGCCAAGGAGAGTTAGTAAAGTATCGACAGCCAGACAAACGCGTTATGGTGCTTTTTTCTTATTTTATTGTTGATTATAACAGATTGAATATCACCAGCCTAATCTTAATAAACCATCAGAGTACAACAAAGTGTGAGAAAAACAAATTATTCCTGGTTAGACCACTGAACTTTGATGACTGTCAATAACTGATCAAGTGTAATAAAATAAAGATGGTCTGTTGAAACTGTGGGCTAATCCAAACACAACCGTTCAAGCGACAAACAAACATGTACATGTGACCGCCTGAGTGACTCTAGGCCTGCCTTACCACCCTGACCTCATGTTTTCTTTGGCCTTAGGTCTGTGTGTTTACAATACTCCTCTCGCTGCAGGAGGACTGACCCTGAGATTTTGCTGTTAAAGGCGAACAATCAGTTTACCTTAGTGCTTTGACCCCACACAATAAGCACCAAAAAGATAAGCAGAGGCAAATGCTTAAATGCTGACTTAAAACTGTTACACTCGGTGTCACAGCCTCAAGAGGCGAATAAATCTGAGAAACAAAAAAAACAGGTTTGGATTTTCAGCCAAACATTCCGTATGTGTGAGAAAAGAGAAACAACAGGAGCGCTTCTGGTATCCCTCAAACAACCTGTGCTTATAGAAGGGAATACTAAAGGAAAACTTAAGACCAAAACTCATTGGTGAACTTGATCCAGGTCCAGGCCCTCAGGATGGTTTCAAACTTAGTGATTTACTACACCCTAAAGAAGGTGCAAGCCGATTCGCGTTGGTGTATTTTAAATGTTTCTAGCCCTATAAATGAAACCCTTTAATATTTTTCAAACATCCTGAGTGCCTAGACCTGGATCATTCCTATTTATAATGTTTTTTTGTTTTTTTTTGTGTGGTGGAGATTTCAGGATCACTTACCATATCGTTTAGGGCTTCCAAAGCCTCCATGTCTCCAATCTTAGCAGCAGCACATGCCAGCGAGGGGGTCAGGGCATCACGGATTGCTTCCAGCTCCTGCAGACATCCCCCCAAAACTTTGATCAGAGAGCTGCTTCGCATTTCAAACTTTACCTTTGAGTCATGTGTTTGAATTCATTGATTTAATTCATTTTCCCACATAGAAAGCTTCATGACAAACTTGACAGAAATGTATGCTTGGTGGATTTAAAGGTCAGCGTAGAAGCGGTGCTGTCACCTCTTTGCAGCTGATGCTGAGGCTCTTGGCGATGACCTGGATGAAGCGGCTGTCGCTCAGGGCCAACTTCGCGCCTGCTATGTCGGCTTTCATCTCACCTCTCAGGTTCTGACCCATCATCTGGACACAAACACACAACTGCTTCACTTGTTTTGCTCATAGATACTGTTTTTACAAGAGTTCTTATAAATCACACAATTACTTGAAATGGCTTAAGTACAACTAAAAATGCCCACATCAGAATCGGGGAGTAGAACACTATATCCAATGCCCCCCCCCCCACTCATAGAAAATGGTTCCTATGAGGCTCTTCATTGGACACATAATTTCAGAAGTGACCACAAGCTGAATTGTAGCTAATGTTAGCTCAGCTTCTTTCAAGGACAAGATTTGTGCAGCATACAGAGCCAGACCATATGGCAATGATAACAATCACATTAAATCTGTACAGAGTAAGTAGTAAACAGCTGGTAAAAAAAAAAAGTATATTATTGCACTAGTATAAGAGGGGTACTTGAAATCAGTCTGTTTAGATTAGATTAAGATGTTAAGAAACATCTTTGATTATTAGTTATCACAACATGACTTCTGAATGCAGACACAAACCTTCTTCTTGGCATCTAGATCCAGCTCTGTTTTGGCCAATAAATAGGACAGCTTTGAGAGGGCAGCCTCTGGAGTCATGTCTCCACCAGCTATCAGCCCTGCATCCATCAACACCTGAGACATAACAAGAATATGAGTTTTGTTTATTTTCATGACACAAATGTAGTTAATGTTGTGAGTCAGTAGAAGTTGATTCTATGTACCTTGCCAGTAGCATAGGACGCAGACACAGTCCCCCTGAGACATTGTGTGCAGTTCACGATGATGACACCAGAGTCTGTGGCCTTCTTCAGCTCCTCTAACAGGTCAGGACGGTTATCGGGGGCATTTCCGCTGCCGTAGGTCTCCAGGACTACACCCTGCATGGGCGGCTGCAGGAAAGCTCTCACCTGGAAAAAGAAGGATTCACATTATAAACTCCCCAAATTTATGGCCATCTGATCTGGCTGCTCATCTGTGTAGAATCAAATTGAAGAATTAGTATTCCATGTTATTTTTCCTGCAGCCCCTTTCACAAACGCACAAGTCCGTCCACTCTCCTAAAAGCCCATCTGGTGCTTTCTATGCAACCAGTATCTCAGTCACTGGTTGGCTGGCACCAGGAGGTCCTATACCACATCATTAGCCATGGCATATGACTAGAGAGGCAGATGACTGAAATTGCAGGAAGGAGAGCAATTAATCTGAAGGTATTAGCAAGCATAAAGTCACTTGGCACGACCGAGGCAGTTACCGTAAAATGTGAGAAGAAGGTGACATTAAAAGTGCAAGGTTCAGTCAGTATTTTTCTGATGCGATAAGCAGAAATGTTTGATGCAGATTACCAGTGAAGCCCTCGGTGGGCAAACAAGAGCCTAGTGCCCAATCAAAGTGATGCCTCATAAAGGCAGTTAAAGGCTGTAAAGAAGTGTTGATAGTCGGACTGGGCAGTGGGAGCAGATTGAGACAGTAAAGCTGCTCTCCCAGCAGCCTCTGCAGGGGGAGGTGCAGATAAATGTTACAGTATCTATGCCAATCCTCCCTCTTTACAGGGTGATTGGTCATGGCCCATAACTCCTTTTCATCTTTCTCCAGGCTGAGCTTTGATGGCAGTTTACATGACCGGGAGAGTAACAGAAGACGGGTAATAGCACAATTAAATTAAAGTTAACTATTTTATTGCAGTTAGACAAAACAATAGTTTGGCTCAGACAGTTATGTTTGGAAACATAGTACAGATTTTTGACATACATTTTATAGTTTCCTACTCTCATTATTTGATTGAATATAATATGACGTAAGATTATACTTGTAAAGTAAGACGTACAGTATGGCAGATATAGGTAAACATCTTTTACACCACCATAACAAAAGCAACAATGTAACCCATATTACCCAGAATGACTTACAGTTGCAGAAGTGATTCCTGGGAAAAGCCTGAGCAGGCCTACATTCCTGTTCAGTTCGGTACTGACTTGAAACTTCGCTGTGGTGTTCGCCCTCCACACCGTGTCCCAGTTGACTAAAGAAAGAGATGTGTGAGAACAGATTTTTTCTTTTGGATTATACAAACATGAGATTTATTTTCCACATGAACACAGATGCATTTCACCACAGTCCTACTTGTAATATCCACTTCAGCAGTGGCCAGAGGAGCCAAGTTAGGAGAGGAGAATGCATTAAAACTTCCAGCGTCCACCTTGGTCACACGATTTCCCCTGTAGAGTTTATTGTAGAAATACAGACAGACCTGAAGAGAGACGAAGACAAGTTTGATGCACAACAGCTGCTATTCAACAAAGACAAAATCCCTTCAACATCACCTGACTGAACACATACTATAAAACATGTGTACATACATCGAAAGACTGTATGTAGCTCGTTATGAAATGCCTGCCAATGCAAACATGACACAAAGAGAGAATAGATTACACCTTTGAGTGCTCTTCCTTGTTCAGGTAGTTGTTGTTCAGCATTGCGAAACACTATACTTATAAAGTATTCTGATCATACAGGTTGTTTAAGAGAGCTTTTGTTACCTATCAGTGCTGACATCTGTCTTTCTAGAACATGGTGTATTTCTCTGAACTTGTAAATCTATTAAATTTAAGATTTATTCCTTTACATTACCATTTAGAATTCATGAATTGACATCTTTGTAAACTAAACCAGATATAACATTTTGATTGCAATAGAGGGAAGTTCGCAAAAAATCCACAACTGCACATAATGCAGAGCTTCATGTTTTCTTTTCCCCCCTCACATTCACAAATCCACAATTCTTAACATTACTATGAGGCGACCAAACAACTCCTCTCCTATAATCGTATGTTTTGTAAAAGGGGATCGTGTGTGTAATCTTCTCTTCCCAACCTCAGGGATGACAAACTGGCCAGCAATCAGCAGCGCCCCCAGCAGGTTGTCTCTGCCATCATTCCTCATCTCATAGATAGGCACCTGAAGATAGAACACATCTTCTCATAAAGGGGAGTAAATAATACAGAAAAATGTTATCTCACATTGTTGGTTCGACTGAAATGGCAGCAGTTCTTACCTGTGAGCCAGTTAGGATGATTGGTTTGCCTAAATGTTCACACATGAAGGACAGGGCCGAGGCTGTGTAAGCCATAGTGTCTGTGCCATGAAGGATCACAAAGCCATCGTAGCTTTCATAGTTTTTCTGGAGTCAGACACAAAAAGGATTACATTTATTAGATCATTTTAAATGAAAATATATATCAAATTATCATTTTTCTCGCCATATTAAATCTTATGGGCTTTATAAATATTATAGGATTATTGGATGTCCAGCATTTTAAGCAGAACTATGTGTTTTTTTTAAATCTAAAAATGGAGTCAGTGAAGTACCTCAATGTCCTTTCCAATTCTTCCCCAGTCATCCGTGGTCATATTGGAGGAGTCCAGCAAAGGGCTGTACTCTAAGATATTGTAGATTATCCTTTTACTGTCTTTACTCAACCTGCAAGAGGAAGATAATTATCTATGAGTTTCAGGAGACAAACCGAACACACAAACTGGCAAAACAAGCCATGTTCAGTCTTTATTAGTGTATACACTCACTACAAAAAGGAACACGAACAACACATGGTTAAACAAATAATGATTCTCTTCCCTTTGACAAAATATTATTTGTCTTCATTGTGCTTGATTTAAAAGGCTGGAACAAGTTCTGGCTATGTTTGAGAAGAGGGTTTAAGGAAGGGGTAGGGAAGTGCTAGAAAATCCAAGATGATTTATGAAGCGAGACAAAGTCTATTTAGTGGGGCCTTCTGTCTCAGCAGCAGGGTGCCAGAACCTGTTTTAGACACACACACGTTTTAAAAGTGTAGAAGGGAGGGGCATGGCAACGAAATAGAGCACCACGATAAAACTTTTTTTCCATAGTGTAGTGCTTCAGTTCTGTGGAGTTTCCACTGTGTAATATAAATGAAGGCGGCGGGGACATGAGGCTGATTCGATGAGTCATATTGCTGCTCCACAGTCCCGCCTGCGACTCTAAGTGTAAGGCGTCAATGGCTAAACAGCTATGGAAAGATCTTCTTTTAAATCTCCCTTTTAAGAAACAGAGAGCCCCCCCCCCCCCCCCACACACACACACACACATTACCATAGAACAGCCTCGTTACATAAAGATTGAAGCTGAATGGGACAGCAGGTGGCCGAGCTCACATGGTCCAGTCCACCCAACCAGGGGTCCTACAGACTCCCCTCTAATTAGCCTTAAGTCCTCACAGGACCCTCCAACATATGTTGTTGATAATCTTAAAGCCAAAGTGCCACAAGAAAACACTATTTAAATCAACAATTATAAACCTATCTGGTTTATAATTTGGAGCAAAGCTACAAATTTGCATACCAGCGCTAAGATGCCTCATAGCTAAAGAATAATGAATATCTCTGTGTATGAGGGTGTGTATAATGTCCCTGTATGTGTGTTAGGTAAGGACTCAAAAAGTGGGGAGGAAGGTTTTAGATGGGAGGGGGCAAACGGCCTTGTGGTGCTGCCTCTCAGCCTCACATGAGTAAAGCTTTTCAATAAATCAATAAACTAATTCCCTCCTTCAACACAGGCTGCATACTATCATTAGTATGCCCATTAGACTTGCATATGAGTCTACTTCTCATGTTGGAATTAACTATTAACAAATTCAAGGATGAGCTAATATTAAAAAGTAAATCAAACTGAAAAAAAGATAAGGTAATATAAATATGCTCAAATATGAACTAATATCAGTTTTAATATCATTTCTATAGGTCTTACTAACAAATAACAAACACAAATTATTTGTTTTTCACTAAACAGTCCTTCACTGCCTGATTATGGATATCAGATCTTTACCATACACCCAACTCCAACCAGCACCTCTCACAGTAGCAGTCAATAAGAAGGGGGGTATGGAAATTAGTGAGTAATGGTATATGTCTGGTATATCACTGACAATTACAACAGTACAGAGGCTGCTGATCAGCTGGTGGGCTCAACTCTCCCTGCTTCACAGCACTCGCACCAGACGTCAAGACAACATGTTTCAAACATGCAGTGGAGTAGATTATTCTTGCTTTTTTAGTAGGCAGGCAGCAACTTTACACCAACTTAACCTCAAAGAAACTTTAGGCTGTTGGTGACAAGGGTTAATAGAGTTAGAGACGCAAACTACTTTTGGCATTAGCAGCTCTGTGCTCCTGTAGCCTTCCTGGTATTTTCTCCTATTGACAAAGGCCACGTCAGCATGCATTTCCTGTCAGGCAAACACACCCTCACATTCAGCAGAGACTTTAAATCACTTTTGGGCACGCAAAGTGCTAGCAGTGCTACATCACCTATGATATAAATGGTCCATATGGGGCGTTGGCTTCCTGTTAAAGTGACAAAAGCAGTTTAGAGTCATTAGAGTCGTTATTGTTTTTAGGCGGAGAATGAGATGAATCCATTCAGTCTATGTAAAATTGGTCTTGCATTGTAAGAAGACTGGAAAACCAACTACACACCTGAGTATGAAATAATACAAGTACAACAACAAAAGAACAGCTTCCTCTGTGCTGATCTTACATATTGCGCGTATGGTCATTTTTTTAAACAGTAAGTTTGAAGTGTTTGCAAAGCTAAATAGAAACAATTCAAAGTTTCTTTAACACTAGAAAGACCAAGGCAGTCATTTTGACTGTTTTTTAATTTTGCAATGTAATAACTTACTTAAAATAAAACCTATGTAACTACAGGACCATGACTTTTCCTAAATGTGTCTATATTTTATTCTAGCATTGTTATTTTATCAAAAACACAAAAGATTTTTGAGTATTTCTACCTTGAAAGTCCATAGCGGTCATATTGACTGCATGCATTATAGCCAGTGTATCATTTCGGTATTCCCTACTTTTTCCCACTCTTGAAGGTAGAGGTGGGTGATATGGGAAAAATATCATGTCACGATTTTTTTTTGGCAAAATCATGATCACGATTTTATCACTTTTTTTTCATACTGATCTTTAGACAAATTTGTGAGTTACTGACCAGTTCAACCAAACTTATTTCCCTGTATAATGTTTTTAAATACACAAAAACTGCGCTGACAAGTTTAATCTATTTGAAAAACATCTTTGTAGGAGGTCTGGAGGTCTCACCCAGAACATCTTTAGCACCAGAAATGGCTTTCCCTCGATTTGATCAATATTTATGCACAATTTGAAGGTTTTCCTCACCACTTTGAAATTATGATTTAGTTCTGTGTCCTCTTTTTATGTTCATCAGGAACATTTTCACACAGTGATGCATCCATTTAAAAATATGTAGACTTCGAGTTCTTGTGTTTCTGTTCTATTTTAGCCCTGCAGAGTTCCTCCAGCTGGAGCTTCATACAGGCTCTGCAGCTCTCATTCTGGGAATGATACAGAGATCATTCCCATTCGCAAAAAACGCCGGCTGCTGTTTCCTAGTTGTCGATAAACTATTCAAATTTCAAATTCATTAGAATTTAATGTTTGTGTCCTGAAGTTTATTATACCTTTCACAACATTAAAGATCCATTTATTCTTATATTTGATATTGATTATTGAAATGATATGCAAAAAATTAGTAAACAGTCAAAATGACCGCTATGACCTTTCTAGTAGTGATAGAATGCCGGTCGTTCTAGTGTTAAGATCAATAAGATGCCCATTGAATAAAAAGTAAAATAGTTTCCAAAATAAAATGAGCTATAACAGTGTTTATAAGATACTACAAATATTAGCTGAACAGAAACTGCCAACTCAATGGACAATGAGGAAAATAAATCATAATCATAGATGAATCACAGATATGTGCTGACAGAGGAAGAAAAAGAACTGTAGGTGTGCTTACGGCAGGACCAGGCTGTTCTCAGATCCATAGTATTCATACATGCAGGTCTGCTGGGCATACATCTCATCGTGTAGGATGGGCAGCTTGCGCAGGCTCTTGACAAAGGCATTGGCTTTCGGGGCAAGTACTGTGACAAAAGAAAGATTTGAAAAAAAGTTGTACTTGTAAGATTTTAAAGCTTTTTACAGGGGGGCCATGAATAATCACCTCAAGAACATACATCAGTCTCATACTGAACCCTAGTGGTGGTTGTCAGAAATGTAACTGGTGCATGTGCTGGAAGTCCATTATTGTAGCTCATTAATATTTTTTATGCTATTTTACTCGTCACTTTTTCAACATATGACATATATCCACATCGAATACAGCCTCACTTTGGCTGTAGAGCACATGTGGTATACTGTTCCCTCTCAATGAACACCAGCAGAAATTCTTCATGTCAGGTCAACAAGTGACAACATGTTACTGCTGACAGTCAAATGAGCATAAGACCTGAAGTCATTTACTCAATTCATTTAGTCTTTAATTTACAAATTCCATCACAAGGATCTGTATGAAGATATTTCACTGTGAACTTGAAAGACCATGATGGTAAGCCATATCTAAAGAAAATAATAACACCTTCAAAGTCTTTACAGTGTATGAAGACAACCCCCAATTCAGTAAGCAAACATGTGATTCAGCTCGAGGATTTGAATTGGAAGTGACAGACCTGCAATAACAATGACTATGCATGAAGTGTGTAAATAGTACAAAAGCAAATATTAAAAAAAAAAAAAAAAGGTCCTGAACACATGAAGTAAAATATTGATAGAAAGGACTTGACTGGGGGGGAACTTTTCTCAAATTGCACCTCCAGTACAAAAATGCATCCTCTGTGTTCACAAAGCAAATATCAACACGGACACACAAAGAAGCATAAACAAACGCAGTTAACTCTTATGTAACAAAGACATCTGTGCTAACTTTCGCCAAAGATAATAAGACCTTTGCCTATTTTTGCCTCACTCCATGCTCCAGATGTTTCCCAACAACTCATGTCAACATCTGGTTATTCATTGAAGGAATCTGTTATGTTGTTCCAACTGCATCATATCGTGCATCTAGTACAGGACTGCCTCTCACGGGGATTCACACATTTCGGCGAATTTTGGTTGTCTTTGTCCAGAGTAGGCAAATTCCAAGAAATTGTAGTTTATGATATATATATTTTTTCCTTTCTAAATCTAAATGAGCTGCTGGTTGTCAACCAATGAGAAAAGCTACCCATTTGGCATTTAGATTCTATAACTATATAAGGACACTTTCCCCCATGTGTAAACACACAGTTTGCTATGTTCAGTAGTGTAGGCTGCGTGCAGGACTATTTTAGGATGAACTGGTAGTCACGCGGCGTTTTTTTAACTCTCCCTCACGCTCACAGTAACATAAAATGTCACATGACGAACCTGTCAACACATGCCGAAATCGCCAGGTCTCAGTTTGGCTGTGGATGAAAAACAACAACAAGTTGAGCTAGCTTGTCGCTACCGTTATCGTGAAGTGTCATCCCGATGGTTCCTCCAGTGTTGATGACCAGCACGCGCGCCTCCGCAGTGGTCGGTGAGGTCAGCGGCTCAATGGTCTCTATCGAGTTGCAGCTCGATAACTTTCTCCTTCGGGCAGGATGCAGCGCTGTGTTCCGTGGAGGACCAACATCCGGCGAGTCTAGTAGGTCGAGTTTTGGTTGTGACAAAGCTCGGGCGAGAGAAGTCAGGTTGTTAAAACTGGAGTCCGCCATGACGACTTACGAGTCAACCTGTGCTGCTCCTTTAAGCGCGTGTGTTTAGTGTTCACGGCACGGTGGTCTTCAAGTGCTACAAACAACCTGAAACACGGCGTTTCTTCTCCGCCCTCTTAGTAGAAACGCATCTCCCAAAGTAACGATTTGACAAGAACTGGGAGTGAATCCATGTTTTGAAATGTGTTTGTGGGAAGCCCACAAATCTTCAGTGTCTCTCATCTAGGAGGACCCCTCTATAATTTTGCCCTTGAGCCGCTGATGGAAGAGGAAGACAACTCTGACGTCAATGTGGGGGTGTGGCCTAAAGTGAAACTAACTTGATGGACACAAAATCAACAAGAAAACTGGTGCTTTTGGGGAATTTTAATACAATTTTACCAGAACACTAACCACAAAAAACTTAAGATTTGTGTTCAGATTTCTTTATTTTTATTTCTGTATATTTCAGTCATGAAGTTTAATTAAATAAAAGTACAAGTACTTACGAATCAAAAGTTAGAGTAGGCTACTTCATTTATAGAACATCACAGGGCTTCTTCACAGTTTTATATATTCTAAATTTAAGCTTATAAGGAAGGTTTTATCATGTGACACAATTTCTGTTTTCTCAAATGTGGGTTTATATGTAATATAATGTCAAACTTTTGAGTAGAAATGTATTACAGTGCATCATTTCAAAGACTTATTCGATTTGTCAGACCTTAATCTGTAGCTTTTGAATAGATAATTCCAGGCGACTAAAATTGACAGGTTAATTTTGAGTCTGATTAATGTATGCACAGATAAAGACATTTTTAGAGCTGAAATTGATTTCCATCAGACTAGCAAGACAACAAGTAGTGTTTGTCTCTGATTGTAGATCTAGGCAGGTATAATGCAAAGTGGGGTTATTCTCACAAAATATAACGGCCTGCTGTGGCTGACATACCATTTATTAAAAGTGATGACCTGTAACCATCGATAAAGATATATGCAAGCCCATAGGAGCTACAGATTTGGACGACCATTTTCTGCAGCTTCATAACTAAGAGTTTCACACTGTCACATTGTTTATAAAATGTAATTTCCAACAATGCTACAAACCTATTAAAATGTCAGTAATAACCCTTAAAGTTTTGCTTTCAATTTGTATAGAAATGTTATTATGTCATTTAATAAACGTTAGATAACTTGTGTGGATCTGTATAGGTTCCCAAATGTCTTAATAACTTAACAAAAAAGGCAGTTCCACAGGTTTTCTTTTAATGTTCAATGATTGGCAGGTTAAATCTATTGGCAAAGAAGCAAAAGCCTAGTGATACAACATTAGAAGTTAAACATGGAAGTCACTTATCTGTCACATGGCATACAGTGGTTAAGGGGTTTAGTCAATTGAAACAAAGGGGTGTGAATAAATCATACTTAAACATTTTCACATTATTTTATCTATTATTGCTTGTCCTTTAATTTGGGCAAAACAATCATCTTATAAGCATTGAGTTCAGACTGTATCACTAAAACACTTGTGATATGTTGTAATCTCTATTTTAGAAGGCCTACATGTGGACTGGGAGATCATGAGCCATAGCCTACATAAAGTGTGGATAAGATTTATATATAACATGGTTTATCAGTTAAGTATGAGTGATCATCATCAGTTTTGACTCAGCTCAGTTGTCACTAGGAAGCTGACTTTTCCAAATATTGCACAAATGAGGTCCTGTGTAGGAAAGCTATTGCTATAAGAAGCAAGGACAATTTTTAAATATAGCATGAATGATAAAGGAAGTTATTGGAATCCCTCCTTCAAGCATGGGAAACGAAAGGCTGTGACTTTAAGTTATGGGGTTTTATGTAACTGAATGTTGTACATTTTAATCTGTTTGTTTACACAAAGGCCCAACTGGGGACACGAGTTGGATGTCTTAATAACTTAACAAAATGTCTTAATAACTTAACAAAAAAGGCAGTTCCACAGGTTTTCTTTTAATGTTCAGTGATTGGCTGGTTAAATCTATTGGCAAAGAAGCAAAAGCCTAGTGATACAACATTAGAAGTTAAACGTGGAAGTCACTTATCTGTCACATGGCATACAGTGGTTAAGGGGTTTAGTCAATTGAAACAAAGGGGTGTGAATAAATCATACTTAAATAAACATTTTCACATTATTTTATCTATTATTGCTTGTCCTTTAATTTGGGCAAAACAATCATCTTATAAGCATTCAGTTCAGACTGTATCACTAAAACACTTGTGATATGTTGTAATCTCTATTTTAGAAGGCCTACATGTGGACTGGGAGATCATGAGCCATAGCCTACATAAAGTGTGGATAAGATTTATATATAACATGGTTTATCAGTTAAGTATGAGTGATCATCATCAGTTTTGACTCAGCTCAGTTGTCACTAGGAAGCTGACTTTTCCAAATATTGCACAAATGAGGTCCTGTGTAGGAAAGCTTTTTAAATATAACATGAATGATAAAGGCAGTTATTGGAATCCCTCCTTCAAGCATGGGAAATGAAAGGCTGTGACTTTAAGTTATGGGGTTTTATGTAACTGAATGTTGTACAATTTAATCTGTTTGTTTTACACAAAGGCCCAACTGGGGACACGAGTTGGAAATTAGCAATAGCTATATACTCTTTATGCAGCGCATCAGTTTCATATGGAAGCCCATTTCTGCCAGTAAAAAAAAAGAAAATGAAAATAATAGTCTCTAAATAAGTCTCATAATTTCAACTTTTTTATCTCATCATTTTGACTTTTTATCTCATTATTATGACTTTACATCTCATAATTTCGACTTTTTATCTCATCATTTTGACTTTGTATCTCATTATTTTGACTTATCTCATTATTATGACTTTTTATCTCATAATTTCGACTTTTTCATCTCATTATTATGACTTTACATCTCACAATTTCAACTTTTTCATCTCATCATTTTGACTTTTCACCTCATCATTTTGACTTTTTATCTCATTATTATGACTTTTTATCTCATAATTTCAACTTTTTCATCTCATCATTTTGACTTTTTATCTCATTATTATGACTTTACATCTCATAATTTCAACTTTTTCATCTCATCATTTCGACTTTTTATCTCATAATTTTGACTTTTTATCTCATTATTATGACTTTTTATCTCATAATTATAACTATTATTTTCATTTTTATTTTTTTAACTGGCGGAAATGAGCTTCCACAGTTTCATGCTTTGTATTGAAATTATATGAAATTGCATTGTCAAATTCAAGTAGTCCAACATTTCCACAAGGGGGTGCTGTTACCCTTTACATAAATAGCAGGTCACTACTACTATAATCACATTAAAAGATTCCGTACTCAATATATAATATCATCATGCCAATGTTATGTTTTTTCCTCAGTATCCAGTGACAATATGTTTTCTTATCTATTACGGTGAATAGAAAATAAACCCAGAAGAACATGTTGGTTAGTGGGCAGAGTCTACTCGAGAATAAACATTATGCAGCCTATTATCCAACATTGATGTTTGGTTAAACGTTAAATATGTTTTTTTTTAAAACAATGATTTTATTTTAAGTCAATCTGGGTATTTTTATTGCCTCCTCCGGTGTGTTGTGCATGCCCCAGACAGACAGTGAGAGCTGTATCAGTTGAATGAAGTCGACGGGAGGAAGTGGCGGTGAATGCAGCTCCACACCTTTCCGGTGTAGCAGCACTGCGACCAGCTCGACTTAAAGGAGAAAGGCGAGAGCTGGGTGTAATTATCGAGGCAGGAGGGGGAGATAGGAGGTAAATTACTTCTATTTCAATTAAGCGTTTGACTCAGAAATATATAAGATACACATTTTGTCCCTGTCGCGTGTGTTTAATGTCCGGATATGGTTATCATTATCTAGTTAGCTGACGGCTAGGTATGAAGCTAGCTAATGTTAGCTTTTGCTAGCCGTCTCTAGCAGCCATGAGCGTTACCTTGCTAATTTGGCATGTCTGACCCTCCTCCCAAATGTCTTTCCAGGGGGACAAGAGTTGGACTTTTCCTGAGTGGATGTATGTGTTGCTGAGTCATTAAGAGGTTTTTTTTTTTTCTTCCCGCACGGTGAAGTTACCCGGCGCTGACGGTCCATGGACTAAAGTGTTAGCCCGCAGAAAGCTGCTTTTCTCCCCCCCGGTAGCCGTGAAGAGAACAAGGGCGCACCCGATGAGGAGGTCCGCCAGACACCAAACACCAGGAGGATTTCACAAGAACGACGGATGCTGTCTGGGCCTTTTAAGCACAACAAAGCGTGTCCTCTGTGCCGGCTTTTAATCGCCAACAAAGGCTGGTTCGTATCTTCGGAGCTTCACGTCGATTTTTTGGGGCAACAAAATGAACGTCCTGCAACAGCTGCTGCCAACTTGTTAAGTGTTATCGTGCCATGTTGTGTACAGGCCCCGCACACACTGTGATACTCTGAACGTCAGTGTCCCCGCACTTCACAGGACGCACACAATATCAAGAAGTCAAATGTCAATAAGTACTGTTTGTTAGGATTAACATGAGTGAGCATTTTTGACTTTTTTTTTTCCTCCACTTGTGCTCTTCACTGAGTCATGTTTTCACAAGTAAGCCTATAGGCAGAAGTTAGTTATATAGAGTACTCATCAGCACAGTGTCAGACATTTTTTTCTCTGTAGGAACGACGTATTTATGCACAATAGTTCAAAATGGGGAAAATGCTTTCAAAAATATTCGGCAACAAGGAGATGAGAATATTGATGCTTGGACTTGATGCTGCTGGAAAAACAACAATCCTTTACAAACTGAAACTAGGGCAGTCTGTGACCACAATCCCCACGGTGGGCTTCAATGTAGAGACTGTCACCTACAAAAATGTCAAGTTCAACGTCTGGGATGTTGGAGGCCAAGACAAGATTCGTCCTCTGTGGCGACATTACTACACAGGCACCCAGGGCTTGATTTTTGTGGTGGATTGTGCCGACAGGGATCGTATCGACGAGGCCAGACAGGAACTTCACCGCATCATCAATGACCGGGAGATGAGGGATGCCATCATCTTGATATTCGCCAATAAGCAAGACCTTCCAGATGCCATGAAGCCACACGAAATCCAAGAGAAGCTCGGATTGACCCGCATCAGAGATAGGAATTGGTATGTTCAGCCTTCCTGTGCGACCTCAGGTGATGGACTGTATGAGGGCTTGACATGGCTAACCTCAAATTACAAATCTTAATGATTGAGTGCAGACTGTTTTAGGTCAAATCTATAACAACATTGCAAGTAACAAATAACTTCTCA